TTTTCTATATATATATATATATATATATATATATATATATATATATATATATATATATATATATATATATATATATATATATACACACACAAACACAAATTATATAATGCTCATCACAAATGCAAGCAGCAGCAACAAAAATGTGCATATACCCTATTCAAACTGAAATATTGAATCCAACGAGAAGATCGATAGGGCTAGAACAGCAGCATTCAGAAAAAGAAAAAAAAATATATCTATCCTACTCTCTCTGTCAGGACCTATCAAAGTACCATGAAATGATGCCCTCCGAGCATTTATTTGTACCATGCAACAATCAGGATCTTAAAAATTGCAGCCATGGAAGATCTCAAGACTATAGTCCAAGGAACACAAATTCTTCGATGGCTGGTACCTCGCCAATCTTGAGCGTTTCCTTGTCAGGTTTCTCATCCACACCAATGGCCATTTTGGCCTGCTTCTTTGGTGCAGTTCTACACACACTCATAAAGTTGATATTCACATTCTCGTCTCCAAGTATTCTCCTCGTATGTCCAGTCATGCCCGGCTGGTCGACCTGCCTGCAGAGTATCAAGTTTCCCTCAAGACTTACATCCACAGTGAAAGACCCCACAGGGGTGAGATGTGGAATATCATCCTTTACCTTTCCTTCCACTAGTATGTCACCAGCATCAGACAAGATACTAACAAATTTCGACTCCGCATTAGTCAGGTGGACCTGGATCGAGTCCAGAGGGATCTCAGGAGAGTTGTCATGAAAATTTCTCTCATCTGCTAATGCGGAGGCCTCTTTGGTTGGCAGTATAATCTGCAATAACAACATTGACAAACATGTTAGATATCAGTTCTATTATTCCTTCAGTGATCATGGCACGCAGAATCCTTGTATCCAAGTCATTAGGATCTCTAGCTGATTTGTATACAACCTTGACCCCCTTGATTCCACTTCCACCAGCTACTAGTTGGACAGCCAGACTTCCCAGTTTCTCATCGAGGATGATGTAAGGGGCTAGCTGAGAAAGAACCTGACGGGAAAAGGGTACAGTCATGATATAACAAGTATTTTTGTTTACTAATTAAACAAAAATAGCATTTTTCCCAAATTTTAAACCTGAGCCAAAGATCAGGTAATATGATCAAATGGTAAGCAAGCAACAAAACAGTAGATGGTAATTGATACATATAAGTTCATACAATTGGCAGCTAAAACATATTTGAAGGTTAAAGTCAGAAGACTCCCTGAGCAACTGTAGCATTATCAAGTGCTTTGACCAAAGCATCTTCATCAATAACTCCACCCCTGGCAACATTAATGATCCTAACTCCTCTCTTCACTTTTGCAAATGCTTCATCATTGAAGATCTTTGCAGTGCTTGGAGCAGAGTGGCAAGTGGAGGGAGATAAAATCTGCAGCAGAAATGGCTTCATCAAATGATACGAGTTCTACACCGATGGCACGGAATTTATCAGCTGGAGCATAAGGATCATGAGCTACAACACGCATCCCTAGTCCCCTTGCATGCCTAGCGACTTCGGAACCAACTTTTCCAAATCCCATCAAAGCCAATGTCTTTCCTACTAGAGAGACAACAACATACTTGTTGCGCTGCCATTTCCCTGAGTATCACAATCACATTAGCTTGCTGCTTGGTTAACAATCTAAATTTGTAAGTCATAAAGAAAGACAACAGATAACCTTAACCAACAAATGATAAGACTGACATATCATTGAAAAAAGAAAAAGAACTACATGCTTACACACAGAGTTGATTATTCCAAAGAAAGGATAAATCTCATGAGCACTCAATATCCGCCTTATCATTTGTTAACCATACAGAACAACACATAGGATTTTTATTATCTTTTATTTTTCAAATTTAGAACATGAAAATTACTCAGAAATGAAACCATTTTGCACAAGATATGAACATGAATTCTCTTTTCTGCTATATTTCAGCAAATAAAATTGTTTAACTTGTGTTATATCTTTGGCCTCCTAAGTCTGACAAAAACTACTATGAGTTTTGTTGTCAATTTTGCAAAATAGAACAGTATACAGGTTTAAGTAAATCCTTTAATAAGTTTCAATATTTTACTTAATTAAATATTGCTATTGACTACATAGATGTTGATTGAAAAAAAAAAAAGTATAATGCAAATGTCAAAGATACGATTCTTCTCAATAATAGTTTCCATAAGATCTCAAGAATTAACTCAAGATTTTAGAGTACTCACGAATAATGATATAGATTACAATAAATCGAAAAGGAAGAAGTATACTTCTAAAATTGTTATCTGAAAAAAAGTTATTCTGTAAGGTATGACATCCTTAAACAATAAAACAAATGAAAAATCAGTATACAGTAGTGTGATTCTGTAAGGTATGACATCCTTAACCCTCGCCGCTGATCCCAATCCCGCTGCTCGTCGCCTTTACACTTCCTTTTAACAGTATACGTATACTGTATACTGTTAATATTATTAAATTTATTTAAAATGATTAATTTTTAATACTGTTAATAGATTAATAATATATTATTTTGATTTTAATATTGTTAATTTTTATTTATTTGAAAATTTTTATTAATGTGACATTGTGATTTTGTATCTTAAATTTTCTTAATTTAATAACATATTTTTATTTAAAATTTTAAATAATTATATTTATTAATTATATTATATATTTTTATATTTTAGCGTCTCGCTTCGCTCGAGCGAGCGCCTCGGGCGTCTTTGGACCTTGGCGCCTTTTGATGCCTAGCGCTTTTTAAATCACTGCAATCACAGGTAACCAAGAAAATAAGTTTAAGGCGTGCTCCTCGATGCTTTCCATACCCATAAAAATCTTCATGTTGTCAACAGAAATACACTTTATGCAAATGAAGCACATTAGGTACTTTACCATATCAAGTTATTGCTTAGGATAATTACATATATTGAATATTTTAAATTAGCATTCATAAGGGTCATCTTAACAATCAAACCAATTATCCAAATTATTGCAGTATCAAATAATGATTTGCCTCTGAAACAAGGTTCCAGTCAGGTAAAATTAACACAACTTGAATCCAAAATTTTAGACCAGAAAACCAGGGGATAAATCAGCACCATCAAATCAAAAGTCTCTTACTTTAGCCAATTAAGTTGGCAATCTAAGTTATATGAAATAACAGAAATGAAGGGGAATCTATCCTACTTTTTGCTCAATAATTAGGGAAAAACAGGCAATGAATCGCGAATATTAATGAAAAGAAATTCACAGATCATGAGAAAATCGAAATGTTGCAAGTTCAATAACACAATTAATTCATGTAATAAGAAATCTCCGTTCGATACCAGAGAAAATATCCTGTGCTAGTCGACCTGTTCTTCTCATAAAGAGAAAGGAGATGAATCTTAGTCCAAACAATCATCAGCCATAATTTAGCAGGTTTCTCGACAATGTAATCAGGCGATCGCAATAGTACAAACAACTAAACGGCGGATCTATGTAGCTCTCATTGTCCACATCCTCGGATTAGATCTGCTCCATTTACTTCACTTGTTCATTAGAGCCAATCCTACAGCATCAATAGAAGAATAGAAGACAAAAAAAAGGAAAGGAATAGAGAAAAAGGAGCTCACTGGCCTTCATAGACGCATCCTTTTCATCTCATCCCCTTCCTCTTCAACCTTCTCCTCATTCGTCTCATCTGATAAGACATGTCATAGTTGATGCCACACGTCACGTCTCATCTGATAAGACATGTCATAGTTGATGCCACACGTCACGTCAAAACTCGTACCCCTAAGACACTGTTCGACACGCCTGATCTCGATAATCCCGAGATGGCAACGCCCCGCACGCCAAGCCAGAATCCGTACTAATGTTATGTTGTGTCCACCACACCAATCCACCCAACACAGCACGCCAAGTCAGAGCCCTGCGCCACATATCCTGTCCCGGGGGCTCGGGACGGTGTCGTCTAACGTACCATTAGCCTTCGTGCCACAGTATAAAACCCCTGGCTGGCCTCTGGCCAAAGAAGGAAAAGAGCAATCCCTCTCGTTACTAACTTGCTCGTCGGAGGGGCCACGGCCAGATACCATCCGACGGAGGCCATTTTACATGAGGGCTACCACTCATCGACGGTGAGGGACTCGGCATAGGAGCGCGACTCGCTCGGCACCAAGGAGTCGCCAATAGCCCCGATCCCGACCAACGCCAACCAACACCCCTTCCTGAGATCTCGGGTACCTCATCATCCGAATCACCCTGCAGAAAACTCCCGACATCGGCCCATGGACCTAGCCGTATTACTCCCCAGCTACGACACATTTGTTCACCAACATCATCCCCTTCCTCCTCAACCTCCTTTTGTCTTCTCCTTCTCCTTGTTCTCCCCATCCATCTTCTCCTCATCCTTTAGTCTTCTCCTTCTCCTCGTCCCCTTTCGTCTCCTCCTTCTCCTCGTTGCCTCATCTCATTGCTCCTACTCCTTCACCTTCCTTTCCTCCTCATAATTTGCCTCTACCTGCGCCTTCTCTCCTCCGCTGTATTATCCTCCTCCCAACGTTTCACGCCCTCTCCCTTATCTGTCTCCATCTTATTCCTCCTCCTCCATATCTCTCGCCTTCACCTCCTCCTCTACCTTTCTCCCGTCTTCCCCTCTACCTCCTTATCCCCCTTCTCCTCTTCCATCTTTGCCTCCTCACTCTTCTCCTCCTCCTCTATCTCTCTCATCATTTCTATTTTGCAACCGCATTTTTGACTTGCAAGGCTGCATCACTTATAGTTGTATGCACTAAACATTCATGGTAATCGCGCCTGTAGCATTATCGTTGTGTAGCCACTGTTTCATCGCTGAAGCTTTGGCGACGTCATTAAAGCCTCGCTTGCATCTTTTGCATAGTGAAGTTGAAGATGTTTTTGGTGTTTTTTAATTAAATTGATGCATTATTTTTTTATTGGTTAGAAGTTGAAGCTTTAGTCTTACCGAATTTGTCTTGAGGTGAGAATTAAATGATTTTATAATTAAATTGATGTATTATTTCTCTATTGGTTAGAAGTTGAAGCTTTAGAAAATTTAAAAACTCTTAAAATCCATGGACACAAGTAATAAGATCCATGGGAGCATGAATTGTTTAATAATTATCTCACACATAATTTTTATCAATAGTAAACGTCAATATTATTAATTATAAAATAATATGATATCTTTCTTGCATCCTCTTTTTCTTCATCCTTAGAGGATGACCTAAGGGGCAACGAGTGGGGTTATACGATGCGACAAAAATAATGAACAACATCATTTCTAACTATACCTACGATAAGTATTAAGAGGTCATCGAGGGACGGGATGCGATCAATAGTAATATAGGGAAGAAGATTGAATACTTCAAATCTAAAGTTTTTAAAATGAGATTATAAATAAAAATACTGATAATAAAAATTTTCTTGTATAATATATCTACATAAATTCTTTCTCTTCATCTTCTTTTTTTCTCCTCATCTTATTCTTCATCATTTTCTTTGTTTTGGATGGATGGTGACATAAGGGAGTATCAAGCGAGGTTGAACGATGTTGGTAATAATAACGAGCAACATCAACAATAAGTGGCATCGCCTCTGACCACCTACGATAAGCATCAATGGGCCATGTCAATACCAAGCAAAGAGCATTAAAGAGGGCAACAAGTGACTCCACAGTGAGTAGGGTTAGTAGCAACGCCATTGATGGGAAGACATCAACAACTAGGATGAAACTACGATTATAAATACTAATAAATTATAAATAGTAAAATAAATATTTTATTATTTTTAAAGAGATCATCAATAACAAGATATTATCAGTAGTAAAAAGGGACCTTAATTGTAAACTTCATATCAAAAGTTCTCAAAATTAGATTATAAATAGTAAGATCACAAATAAAAATATCCTTAAATGAGACATACAATAAGCATATTATAATAGATTGTATATGCAACAAGCATATCACAACAGATTAGTTATTTTCAAACTGTACAAGGATATATTTCTATACTGCCACTCCACTTTTTCCATTTAAACCCAGAACGAGTTATCAGAACTCGAGCAGCTCACGGACCTACTCAGCGAGTCCCTCCCCTACGCCGCCGGCGACGCGGATGGCTCCCCTCCTCCGTGCGACCTATTTTCCCCGCTACAGCCGCCTTCGTCATCTCCGTTTCCCGCTCCTCCTTCTGCTCCCATCCAGATCCCTCCGCTCCGCCGCACCCGTCGCCGCTCCCGGCCTCGACCTGACGAACCCTACTTACGTCGTCTGGGGCTGCAACACTGGCGTCGGGAAAACCCTCGTCTCCGCCGGCCTCGCTGCCTCCGTCCTCTCCCCCTGCTCCACCGATCCCTCCGCTTTCCTCTACCTGAAGCCGGTCCAGACCGGCTTCCCCCGCGACTCCGACTCCCGCTTCGTCTGCCGGAAGGTTTCCGCTCTCTTCCGCCGCTACGAGGGTGGCTCCCTCTCTGGGCTTCTCGCCTCAGACCACGTCCTGAACGCGTCGAGAGCTGCCGCCGGGGAGTTGCTCGGAGGTAGGCTTGAGCAACCGGATGAGGCGGAGGAGGGTGGCGCGGCGTCGAGAGGACTCTGCATGTATGAGGAGACGCGCACAGGGATGGGGGAGGCGAAGGAGGGCGAATCGAAATTGGTTTGCAAGACGTTGTTTGGATGGAGGGAGGGGATTTCGCCACACCTTGCAGTAAAGAGAGAGGGCATGCCGGTGGAAGACTCATCCTTGAGGGAGTTGCTGGGAAGATGTTTGGGGCTTTCTCTGGGGGGAGGAGGAGATGATGGAGGTAAGAAGCGGATTTGGAGAGTGATCGAGACCGCGGGGGGTGTGGCGAGCCCTGGGCCTTCGGGAACTCTTCAGTGCGATTTGTATAGGTATGCCTGACGCCCTTGTCATATGCTTATTATATCAGGTGTTGATTGATAAACTTCAACTATGAATTCTGATTGGTAAGTGTTTTTCTTGATGTCTTTCATAAAGGGCCAGGATTTGGCTACATAGAGTACTTATCATAGGCTCTGTTACTAATATCAAGTAGGATATGACATTTGATATGAAATGAAGCCTAGAAGAAGTAGGTTTCATGATTCTTATTTGTGTAATTCTTGTTTCTGACTTGATCTGCTAGTGACTTCAAATATCTTGTCATACATGCAAGCCACATAGTGAATCAGTTGAATTTGCACGATAAAATCTAAATCCAACTAATTTTAACTCTAATTAAAGGTTTTTTTAAACATATATTGTAAATCTCAATTAAGGGTATTATTATAATAATAGATAATCAAAATCAATTCTTGATATTCTTTAAACATCAGAATTTAAAAGAACTGAATCCATTTCTATTTTGTTCCAAATAATGTGTAAATATTTCATCCTCAGCGTCTGTGAATGAAATGATGTTTCATTTGATCTTAACTATCAAATATCATTTTTATAAATGACCATGTCTCACAGAAGAAGACATGTTTATTCAATTTTTTGGTGGAAAGTGGAGAGTCTAATTATTTTTGGGAATGGATGCGAGGGAATAACATTTTCTCATCAATAAAGCTGATTTTAGCAAAGTTTGTTTGCATTTCTGTTTTTGATGTGATTACACTGATTTTTTTTACCAAAAAATATTTTGTACCTGGACAAATTGAATGCTTCGTCATCATTAGCGTGTTCAGCTTTTCTTTGTAGATTTTGCAAGAAAACAATTGCATGAAACTGACTGAAGAATTAGTAAAGATAAAAAAGAAATATAAAGTAAGGAAACAAGAAGGTAATTGCAGATGAAATTATTTGTATTAAGATTTTTGTTGAATAAAAAATATTATTTTTTAGTTAAACTTTCCTTTAAAGGATTGCAGATGAAATTATGCCAAAGGTAAAACAAGAAGGTAATTGATCTGGGTGCAATTCATTTCCTTTTTTATTAGTCTATTATCATTCTTTTTTGTCATAAGATTGTTTATCATCAAAGTAAAACATTTAGCCTTAAATTAGCTTGCAAACTTTAATATCAGGTTTTCCTTTGTCTAGTATATTGTATTCAGAGTTGATCTCATGGCTGTACCTGAGTACAGAAGACCCAATTGAAGCATTTTTTCAGATAGAAGATTGCTGCATTAACAATGGTAAAACAGTATGCTCCTGCCCGAAGGCTGCCTGACTATTGCACATGGAAGACATAAGAAAATATTTCTCTAGCCTGTTTAAGCTTATCAGTGTTTATCTTGTTACTTAATGTGATATATTTTGGAGTAAGCCCGTTTGCTAATAATCAGACCTTATTATTTAAAATCATGAAGCATTTTTTTTTTTTTGGGTTCTTGTTGAATTTGGTCATCATGTGTTCTCAAGACAAAGATTGTCCCTTTGATTTTGATCACCTTGATATATATATATATCCTGTGAAACAACTATGTTCTTTGATTATTGTCTTCCATGTTGAGTGTAGCAGTTTACCTTTTTCTTATACCTGTAATTTGCACCAGGCCTTTCAGGTTACCTTCAATTCTTGTTGGAGATGGCCGTCTTGGTGGTATATCGGCGACTATAGCTGCATATGAGAGTTTAACTTCTAGAGGATATGATGTTGTAGCCATTATCTTGGAGGATCAAGGCCTATCTAATGAGGTGTCCTTGCAGTCATACTTAAGAAGCAGGTACTAGTATGCTTTAAGTACATGGTATTATATTATATTTTACAAATGATTGCTGAAGTAAAATTTTTATATTTTTAAATTTACCAAACATTACAACATCATGACTTTACAAACTTCAAGCCTAACCACAATACTGGGAGTGGTCCAGTAAATCCTTCTTGCAATGAGCTTTTTGACATCCCAGATAACCAAGTAATTCTTCAGTGTATAAGCTGGAAAGTTATTAGTGTTTTGCTCTCTATTAGGGTTGGGAATCTTGTAAGAGCTTGTCTGGTCAACATGATCCAACCTGGACCCAACTCTTTAAAGATGACCTGGTGGGTTCATGGGTCAGGTTTAGGTCAAGAGATCTTGACTTGTTGGCTGGTCTAGTCAGATTCAGATCAACCATATGTTCCACTGATGATATGTTCAACCTAACTTGATTCGACCCAGCCTTGTTTTGCCAGAAGACAATGGAAAACATACCTTGACCCACCAATCTGACCCATTTTGCTCTGACTCGACCTGGTTAGGTCTAGGTCAAGAAATTTTGACCTATCGGCAGGTTTGACCAGTTTCTGGTCTGCCCTATGTGCCTTATATCCTATATCTTAATCCGACCCATTTCAACCCGTGGTAAATCAAGCTGTCTTTATATTACAATTATTGATCCCGAAAGTCTTCAATACTCTTGGGCAACCATATATTTGCAACAATTCCCTTCCTTCAAACACTACTTCAATCCCCTTCCTTGAAACACTACTTGCTGAATCCTCTCTACATGGTTTGTGGGACTGAATTCAGTAAGATTTGGAGGTCCATACATAAAGGTCTGTCAGGTACTGCTATGGGATCTTGTATTTTGTGGAGGATTTATTGACACACCCTTGCAATGTGATTGGCTGACAAGTATTTACTGGTCTACCCATGGACTGGTATGGTACTACTAAATAGGGTGGCAATCTTTACTTCTCTACTCCTCTGTTCCTCTTATGGAATCAAACTTCACAAAGAGAACACAATCTATGCACTCTGGACTCATCTATCAAAAACTAATATCATTTGAGTCCTCCAAAGAAACCTACATACTTCTTTAAGACTACTATTTCTACCAGATCTTGGCATATCTTTGCAAGCAAAATAAAAGCCATCTTATCCACATGATAACATCTGTTTTAGGAAATTGATGTCTCCCTGTGATATGTGATTGTAGCCTGGAATTATCCGTAGACCTAAATAATATTCTACCTAATGATATTTGACCATTATGTTTCATTAGTTGTACAATTCCACTAAATGTCAGTTTGTAGCAGGACCAGTATTGTATCCTGTTGAATGGAATACATCATTCATGTCATAGGCATGAACTTAATAAGCTTTTCTTTGTGCTTAATTTAATATATTATGAGTTCGTTGTATTGTTATGTTTTTCCAAATCCACCCTAACATTGTCTTTCATCTTGATAAAGGTTACCTGTGCTTGTACTGCCACCAATTCCTGGAGATCCACTAAACAACCTGCTGGATTGGTTTTATGAATCTAGGCAAACTTTTAGTTCCCTTCAGGACATCATGCTGTCTGCTCATATAAAAAGGATTCAGAGATTACATGATATGCCAAGAAAGGCAGGCAGCCTTTTCTGGTGGCCATTCACTCAGCACAAACTAGTTCCTGAAAAGATGGTTACTGTAATTGACTCACGCTGTGGTGAGAATTTTGCTATTCACAAGGTTTGTGTAAAATTGTTCTAGTTAGTCTACATGTGAGCTATTGGCTGGATATACTTCTCAATCATTATATGCAAATGTTTCTAACAAGTTTTCACAAATTACTGTATGATGTGATCTATGCATAGTCTTTCTCTTTTTTTCAAAATCAATGATAAATTTGGGAAATATTATTTACTACTTTCTTTTCTTTTCTTTTCAGTTAAGGTAGTTCTGAAACATTCCCTTTTCTTGTATAGGTTTTGAATGACCAAGAGATGATCATTCCACAGTTTGATGCATGTGGAAGTTGGTGGACTCAAGGGCCTGATTCTACCTTGCAGGTCAGTAGTATAACATGTAACTTGCTCACATGTAATAATGTCAAAGATAATCTACCAATATTTATGGGGCCTATCACCCATTGAGTGACTTCATATCATGATGACATGTAAAGGCCAATGAAATAATTACCATTGGTGGAACTGCTGTTTTCCCTTTTAATTATGCTTTCATTAGCTCCTCGAAATCATTGGCCAATTGACATGCTACTAATTTCCAATTTAATCATTAATGGCATGTTTTGAATAAAGTTGTTTTTTTATAGAAAAAACTACTTTGCATTGAACCAGCGGAGTACAAACATCCATTCTTGGACAATAGCCCATTTATTGTCCTAAATTTTATGGTGGCTATAACATGCTAGTCTTGTACTTAATTTGGAACAGTTTCCTTTACTTTATCATTTTATGTTACGTCGACCAAATAAAATCTTAAATACCACAAACTAATATAACTAAAAAAATTTAAGGATCCTAATTCTCCTTTTTTTAAAGTATTGGAATCTGATTATGGTGGGAATGAAAACTTGGTTGAACCCATGTTCTGGAGATTCATCTTTCTTCTGTATTCGTGTTTATGTTTGTTCCTGTCTCATGTGCCTTTTGCGAGCAATATAACTTCCTTGCTTGCAAAGTGTTGCTGAGCATGATGCTAGCTTTAGCAAGCAATAACTGTCTTTTGCAAGCAATATGACAATAGGATTTGTGAAAAATCCTACGACTTCCATAAAAAAATGAATTAACATCCTTTGCACTCACACTTAAAACTCTTAACCAGATGTAAAGAATATTTGCCATCACATCATCAGCGTTTGATCCATCTTGCAGAAACTACCAAATTGATGCTCCATCCTCGCTATATCCGGTGGCTTCCACTGGATGGTTCTTGATTCATCCATATCCCTAAGCTTCTCACTTTGATGTTCAATTTGAACAAATTTCGTGAAGGAACAACAGGATTTGTGAATAAATCTGACCATTTCCATAAAAAAATTGAATTAACATCCTTGGCTCTCACACTTAAAACTCTTAACCAGATGTAAAGAACCATTGGCCATCACATCAACAGCATCTGATCCATCTTGGAGAAACTACCAGATTGATACTCCATCCTAATAGTCAAAAATTGATTCAAGTTCCATGACAGTAATTCAACAATTGCTCGAGGTCCTTCTATAGAAGAGCTCTGTTGTGGAGGAAAGGGTTAGAAAGGATATGAGGGATTAATTTATGGTATAATTTTGCTCATTTAGATCGTACATCAGTTTCAATTCTTACTGTTAGCAAGAATTTGACTTCCAGCAGTATAAACCTGTCTTGGCTAGCATAAGAATTAGATGTGCTTTCTGGTATGATCTGCTGTTTCAGCAACAGGGTAAAGAAAAGACTAAACAAAGCATAACATCATCTTCAGATATATGAGAGAGAAATGAGGAAAGTGAAAGAAAAGATACTCATATGATATTAAATCGGAAAAATAGCAACAAAAAGATGCAAGCATTTCTGGGTGATGAAGGTGTCCTTTGTCACCATCATCTCCAACCAATTTGCTCCCTGGCGCTGTCTCGAATTCACATGCTCCAGCTTTTGGGGAGATGGAAAGAGTTATCCTTTTGCTTGAAAGAAGAGGAAAGTATTGAGGCTGAAGTAAACAATTTTTCTTCTTGGTTTCATTGGCACATTCCATTTAAATTTGTTTTCATATAGAGAATGCTTACTTCACTTCAGCTCAGTTCAAGTAGTATCTTGTTGGCTCTTAAAAGTTTTGAAAATTAAAAACTTGGTTGGTATGATGGGACAGTTGTGATTGAACAAAATAACACCAGGCTATTGATGTTAGATAAGATTATCAGATTGCTTTAAAGTGGATAATTAATTGCTTAATGTACACAAACTGCTTATTTCATTTTCAAAGCTATTTGCATCACTTGGTTTCTAGGGTGACCACTACGCTGTGCCAATTGCTAAACAAATTGTGAAATGTGGTTGTATGAACGTTTTTAAGTGAAAAAGGAAGTATACAGCTTAATTGTTTTGGATAAATATTGTCTGTTGCTTAGGTGGTTTCAGATTGAACTTGTGAAAGATATTGGTTATTCTGCTGCAAGATATGGGCATGTGATGTTTCCTGAGAATGTCTATGAACCTGCATTGCAATGTGCTGAACTTTTGCTCGATGGGGTTGGCAAAGGTGTGATATCTACTTTTTAGTTCCTTTGGTTGCCAAATTAGAACTTTTTAACAGTTAAAGTAAATGGCTCTCAGAGAAGCTTAGTTGATTTGCAGTCTTGCATTTTTGTCTTTTTGTATTTACAGGATGGGCATCTCGAACTTTCTTTTCTGACAATGGATCTACGGCAGTTGAAATTGCACTGAAGATGGCATTCCGTAAGTACATGTCTGATCATGGGATCCATGCTGATTTTCACAAGCTGGGGCCAAAAGGAAGCTGTATTGAGCTCAGGGTATATTCTTCTGTTTGGTGTATACATTCTTTAACTGTTCATTGCATGATTGTCAGATTTATTAAAGATTTATGGTGTTTTCCTTAAAAAAGTAGTTGATCTCTATACAGAAAATTGTTAGATGTGTAGAATATCATGTTTCCATTATTGCGTCACTCAAGGCTTATAATTTAATTAGGAGTAGGTACTATTATTAGCCTAGGACTACACTTTGTTTCTGAAGCAAAGATAAGCGCAACCTAGTGTATAAAATTTTGATCTCTATCTATTTTATACCATGTACCTAAATGATAAGGATGAAGAGAATTTTTCTGTGCATTTGGAAATAAATGATCGCTAGTGGTTTCTTCTCTTTAGAAAGTAACATTAGACCATTCTCAAATTTAATTTTATAGCTAGCAGTGCTATAAAGGAAATTTTGGGCAATAAATTTGCAGATTGATATTAGAAAAGTACCTTCTAAGTTAATATTTTTTTGATAATGTGTGTGGTATGTTCATGCTTGTCATTATTGTGTAACAAAATGTGATAATGAAATGATGATGAACATATAAATAGAGAAACTTTATTGATTTGTAGTTTGTACAATACAAATGGTATGCTTCAGAATTAGTAAGAGAAACAGCAGTCTTATAGGTTTTCCTTGTACTGCTATATAGTAATGGAACATTAGATGCAGGCCAGTAAATGTTGCTCGAATATAGAGGCTTATATTTCTTCTAGGCAAAAAAAAAAGGTTGTGATTGCATGCAGTGCCAATAGACAGAAACAGAAATTATTTATGTAAGTGTGACTGGAAAATTGTTAATGTTGACTACGTGGTTTATCATCTTTGTTTTATCTTTGGTGTTAAATAATGTATTGTTGACTATGTAAGTATGCACTCTAATTAGTTAAAAAAATATTGCCATCTTTTTGAACTTATGTCCTGACATTTATGAGGATGAGCCTTGGTCAGCATTTGCTTGTTCACAACCTGGATGAGGAGGTTTGAATCATGTAATTGGTTTCTCTGATTGCAAGTGTAAGATTGAATACATCGATCCTTCCAAGAACCCTATTAGTGAGTCTTATGCACTGGATTAACCTTACAAGATAATATTAACCTTCGATATAGATGTCTAGATAGTTTTTTACGTTTTCCCACCATGCCCTGTGCCGGTAACATTTCAGTATGGTATAGTACAGGTTCCATGTGGAATGGTACAGACCAACAATATCCTAAAGGAAATTTTGGTACTTGGCACATACTTGGCGTTGCAGGGAGCTCTGTGCTGACACTGATTTGGTGTGATGAACTTTCTGAAACTCATAAAAAAATCATCAAAGAGGGATGGCATGACTAGTTGTTTTCCTTGTCTTTGTACAGCTGATAATCCTCAATGGTTTGTTTTATTAGCAATCAAACCCAAATTTTGTCTTTTTCAATTTCTTTATGCAGGTCCTTGCTCTCAGTGGATCTTATCATGGGGATACATTAGGTGCTATGGAAGCACAAGCTCCATCATCATATACAAGTTTTATTCAACAGCCATGGTATCAACTTCTAGCCATGTGTGTAGTTCATGTGTTTATAAAATAAAGCAATCATATAATCTCATTTTCCTGTTGTCAGGGTATATAGCTGTTCTGAAGCAGGTTCTGTTATTGATAGAAACTTCAATAATAATGGGTGCTTTCTTGGTCCAGTATTTTTATCGCTGAGAAAGATTTTGTTATGTTATCGAATCATATAGACAAAATAAGCTCCTCTGGCATACACATTCAATAAAAATAAAATTTTGCTATGTCTAAGAGAGTTACAAATTTTTTGCATGTTTGAATTCAGCATGCCATGTTAAATATTATGTTCCTTCTCTGATATTTGTATTGTTCTTTGAGTTAGATGATGTTTGGTCAACTGGACATAGTGATCCAAAAACCATACCTGTGGGAAGATGAACCTAATTATAATCTGTGTACCAACATAACTGTGGAACATGCTGGAGTGCAACCTGTACTAATTTCATTTATTTACTGGAAATAAAAAAGTTTGTGTAATAAAGCTTTTAACCAATAATGTTGCTTTGTTGGAGATGTTATAATAGACAAATTCAGTATATTACCTGTAATATGGTGATTTTGCCCCTTTCCCCCTGATTTTCTCTCCTTGATTTGCAGGTATTCAGGAAGAGGCCTTTTTCTGGATCCTCCGGAATGTTTTATTTCTAATGAGATCTGGAGTCTTTCCCTACCTGATTGCCTACTGACTAATCATCTGAAGCCGGAAGATACAAGTAAGAGCATCATGCTTCATTTGGTACTTCTATTTGATTTTTATTTGTATCACATAATTATTATTTACATATTACAGGATTTAGCTCGTGTGCTGAATTGTTTTGTCCGAGCAGGGACACTTCAGCTGTTGCTAAAAATTATGCTAATTATATATCAAAGCAATTATCTGATTTTGCTGCATCTAGCCGCTCCATACAGGTTGGAGCATTAATTATAGAGCCAGGCAAGTGTAGTTTATCATTTGTGCTTCATCTTGATTTTGTATCTAAAGAAAATTTGGTCAGATGACAGTAGTTCAGAAGTAATTTATCTATGAGCTAATGAAAACTTTGTTACAATTGAAGCTATTAGAAGGTATCTGTTTTACTTTCTTTGAATGTCCACTATCCTTTATATTCAATTAAAAGCTTGTAATGGAAATATGTTTCTGCACTTGGATAACACCAAGAATGTTTGGTGCTTACAAAAATCTGTTATCAAATTAAAGTAAGTTTTCCTTTACCCTTGTTATGACCTCAAGCAAATTTCTCACAGGTCCTATCTCAGATTAGTTTTGGTAGACACAATTTTACCCATGTTATGCCCTCAAGTGATGAATCATCAATTCTCATGAGGTTGACAGATCATAATAAACAGGATAAAATCTATTTCGTTTTTCACACATGTTGGTTGGGGGACACACCAGTTCATCATACAGTGACATACCTTATCTTAGATGTATGTTGAGCTTAATTAAAAATAGTGCTGGCTAATAAGAATAATATAAACATCTTTGTGCTATGGTTTTCTATTAACTACTCATTCAGGACCTTGAATTTTGGTGCCTGTGAAACAAGTCAGTTACTCTGACTAAAATGTCCTCAAGCCAGAAGATGCAACAATAACCAGAAGCTGAAATGAAGCCAAGAAAGAACCTTTGTTTTACACTAGGTTTGGTTCTGCTTTGATTTGTTTCTGTGATCCTTCCTGAGTTTGATTCAATCTCACAGGATCAGTTTTGAAAACTGGCTTTTCGTGATTCCGACAGTAAGTTCCATGATTGCGAATATTGGACTTAGAGAGTACTACCTTTTGAAGTACAATAAAATTTAATAAATTTGAGTTCAGTCCGACCTATTACTTAAGCATGTGCTGGAAACTATGAACAAATCTCCTGTGTTTTCCATGGCTGGTTATTCCTAATTAGACTGTGGAAGTGCAAATTGTGTTGCATATTTTTGCAGTATCACATCTTGTTCTTCATTAATATAATTTTATTTTGTTAAAAAAGATTTAACTTGTTTGCAGTTATACAAGGTGCTGGTGGAATGCACTTGGTTGATCCACTTTTTCAGCGGATTCTTGTTTGGGAGTGTCAATCTCGTAAAATTCCTGTTATATTTGATGAAGTGTTCTCAGGGTTTTGGCGGCTTGGGAGAGAGGTAAAACAATGGGGTAAACCCACTTATTGTACATGTTTAAACTGTTTGACGATTGTTTCTGTTTATCTTGCAGTCTGCTGCTGAACTTTTAGGTTGTCAGCCAGATGTGGCATGCTTTGGTAAATTGCTGACTGGAGGAGTTGTACCACTGGCTGTAACTTTAGCAACAGAATCTGTTTTCGAAGCATTTCAAGGTGACTCGAAGGTATTTGACTTCACTGTTAAGTTGCATAAAACTAGTTTCTATTATAATGATAGCTACTAGATCCTGGATTCATTTCACTGACATGATTGTGTGTTTGCCTAAAAGAATATTCTACTTATCTAAGATGCTCCAATTTCTGTTCTCTTGTTACAGCTATTGGCTCTTTTACATGGTCACTCCTATTCTGCTCATGCTGTGGGTTGCGCATCAGCTGCAAAAGCTATCCGATGGTTCAAAGATCCCAATACTAATGCAAATTTTGACATCGAACGAAAGATGCTAAAAGAGGTATATTGTTCTTGTTACATAACATTAATGAATAATAAGCATTGACTATATTGCTTTAAGATTTATCCAAATTGAAACAACCTTAATATCTTGATCATCAGCATGATCTTGATTGTCTTCTGAAAGCTACAACATCAGATTCCTTCTAATTGATCATGTCACTTGCTGACAAACAGAGAGATTCTAAGATCACATTCATAGAAGTGATAGACCAGTGATGTGCTGGTTTGAAATGCAATGACCACCAATAATTAGACATCTATCTCTATACCAAGAATAAGTGAATCTAAGATATGAGAAAAAGGATATCCATCTGAGTGGAATCAGGCATATGTGAGTAATTATACTTGCAATATGTAGTAGATGCACTCCTCGACGCAGGCCATAATTGGCCAATAACATGGCCTTTGTGCTCTTGTAAGGGGATTTCTTATAGAATCACAAACAAAATACTACATATTTATGATATGCAAAATTGCTTGTTCCTTTGGACGTTAAACACCACCAACGAATAAGATTATTGAAGCTCTCATACCACATCTTTCTGTCATGATTTTATCTGATCTACAATCTATTGCTAATATGCGAATAGTTTCTGAGCTTTAACATTTTCCAATTTCTTTAGTATAATAATAGCTCACATTGTAGAGAGCTTTTTCAAGCAGGACTTGGATGGTGAATCAAGTAACTTTTTGATCTTCTGTAATGTTTTTTCATGTGCTACAATTGCAGCTATGGGACGTAAAACTTGTTCATGGATTGTCATCTCTTCCTGCAGTCCAAAGAGTAGTAGTGCTGGGAACTCTTCTTGCTGTTGAACTCAAAGCAGATGGCTGTGATACAGGGTATGTTTGTACATACAGATATATTCTATTTGTCTACTATAAAGTTTGTAGTGAAAAAAAAAACTCTATTGCAAATGACAGGCAGATAATATGTTGACATGTGGAGGTGTAATGTCTCCGCCCATTAAAATAATTTTCAAATTGCTTCTGACCCTTGAAGGAGACATTCTATTGCTTATTCATGTTTGTCTATATTGCATGCATCTATTTCTCTTATATCAGTATATTTTGTCATTAGTCTTATAGGTGGATCATGGTCATTCTAATATTTTTCTAAACACCTATTTCATATCATTCATCAGACAAATGAAATACACCTAGTTTCATCATTATGCTATCTGCCTACTATGTTGTGACACTTCCAGTGAAGTACTTCCTGCTCCTGTTGACTATCCCTATCGATGGAGCTCTGATTATAGTGATACTTTGATAATATCTAAACAAAAACACCATAGACAGGATATTCTGGAATTAATGGATTTCTTTCTGGCAGCTAACTGATGGATCCAACTTCTGTGCAGATATGCATCATTATACGCAAGTTCTCTGGTCCAACAGCTTCGTGCTGATGGTCTTTACATAAGACCTCTTGGGAATGTCATTTACCTAATGTGCAGTCCATGTACATCGCCTCATTTCTGCAGTCAACAACTATGCAAATTACATCAGAGAATATACGAATTCAGCGAACCTCGGAGAAAAGAATGATAATATGACAACAAAATGGACTGAAGATGGTATTATCATGGTTGAAGTAGTGCCCTGAAACCGATGTCTTCTCTGTCGGACAACTGACCCACTGACCATATATGCTGCATAATACCGATGAACCTCTTCCCTTCGGAGTTTGACACTATGTTTGCTTTGGAACTTCATCTCTAGATTGAGCTATTTTCTATGAGCAAACACATGATTTATGCAGTTATTGGAGTCCTTTATTAGACTGATTCTTTGATTTCTACATTGTATAAATGTTACTAAGCATTTGAGCTTTTATATTTTTCTTTACGGTTGGTCTTGGAATTCAGCATCAAGGGAACAAAATTTCTACTGATGCGAAAATTCGGTGTGAAACTTGCTCTGGTGCAGTGAACGCTGTTGAAGTTGAAGCTGTTGTATGATGGATGGATCAGTCAGCGAGTCATCAGACTCGAATTGTGTCCATATTAGTATCTGACTCCAAGTTGAAGTTGAATTTGCCCGTTCTTTGTGAGACTACTGGTTTATCAAACGGCCCCATCTTTTTGGGAAAGGAAGCCATCCTTTCAGATGCTGGGGCAGTACTCCTGGCGTATGAAAGATCTGGGGGCCTTGCTTTGTCTTCGCATGTGACACGGGGAATTATGGGGTAAAATAGACGGGTTTCATAGTGTGATGATGTGATTCGTACGATAAGATTCTGTACGTAAAAGGGTTCTTTTGTTTATTTATCGGTTTATTATGCCATATATCAAACATTAAGTATGAAAGATCGTACCGGTGGTCATGTACTGGTTTGGACAGATCTCAAGGGATACGGAAACACGAATCAATAAATCATCACGAGCAAATACAACAAATCATTAAAAAACATAAAACAAAAGTAGTCACAAGACGAAAGCACAAAATAATGAAGTTGCTTCATATAATATTAAATGTCTCTGGATTCCAAGTTCAACTGTTCCACCCTTTTTCTGAACATATAGATTATTCTCCAAACGAATCAATCTAGCAATACATAGAAAGGGCATATATTACATGAACAAAATCCTTGTTAGACAGTTAAAAGAATCACATAATTGAGGACAATAATGCAGGCCATGAAGGATGAGAAATGCGGACACAAAGCGTATCAATGTCCCCAGCATTGAAGTATCGAACCTTTGTTAAAGGTTCCTGAATCACTCGTAAAAAGGTTTTCCAAAGGAGTAGGCACTGCATGTGAGCACTTTCCAGAAAAGTGAAAAAGCTGAGATGTAGTTTCACCACACATCCCTTAAATACCTCCCATCCATTTGCAGACTCTTTACCATACTTTCAGTCTTTGAGCTATCGAGGGATCCCTACAAAACAATGAAATGGAATCGGCTCAGAAAACAGTTGCACTCCCGTAGGAATGTGCTGAACAATTTGTTTACATTGACATGTGGAATATCAAACAACAGACTTTGGCCCTGCAGTATCAAACTATGACCTTGCTCTGAAAATAAAGTGTTTACCTGTTCCTGAACAATGGTGTGGAGTACCCTGTGGACATCTCTAGCCATACCCTTGGCATCACCGCAAACGTAGATATAACCACCCTGCTCGATGATATTCCAGATGTCCAAGGCCTGAAAAGATGAATTGAAACAATCAGTGGCAATTTTTTCGAAAACAACAATTCTGCCTAACATACTGAAGAGATGGAAGAAAATCCATAGCATATAAAATGCGGGTGGTAGGTATCAGCTCAGAAAGAAATTCCATAGCACATAAACCTTTTCAGCCATCTTATGCTGTACGTATTCCTTCGTTGGACCTTCGCGGGAGAAGGCAAGTATCAGTTCAGAAAGTGCCCCGGTTTCAACAAAGTTTTTCAGCTCATCCTCATAGATGAAGTCCTGAAACAAGGATCTCATTAGATAGACTTATAAAGCACGAGACAGACTAATTATAGGTATTTACCAATTATCATACCATTTTGCGGTTCCTGCATCCAAAGAAGAGAATAGCATGACCAAGTTGGGTTCCAGCCTCCTTCAAGGCCAACCTTTCCTGAGTGGCAATAACTTACATTGTCAAAAATCATAACCTCCTAAGAATTTATTTATTTTATAAAAGAAAATTGCAAAATCATAACCTCCTAAGAATGTGTTTCTTTTCTGAAAAACAAAAGAGAACGTATTTGCAGAAAATATGGAGATTCATATAAACCTGTAAGAAACCCCTGAATGGCGCCAGTCCTGTCCCAGGACCAATCATAATGATTGGCAAAGAAGGATCTGCAGGAAGTTTAAAGTTTGATTGTCTCACAAAGACAGGAGCCCAGCTGCATTCTTGACTCTCTTCCAGTGGAACAGAATGCTGCAAGCCAGGAGTTGCAAAGTCACATAACATGAAAAAACACCAACAGAAAACAGACCCATAAACTAAGTTGGGTTCACATCAAATAACATTACTTCAGAATATGCTGGCTGTACCAAAAGTTCATGTAAAAGAAGACTAGAAACAACAAAAGATACTGAAACTACATAGTGTCATAGAATATAAGCCTTTTCTGATCTGCTACTAAAATCACATATTGGATTTCAGTTTGGTAAACCATGGTTGCCAAATATTAGATCCACAATAAAATATATCTACACAGGATTTGTTTATGAACATCAATTTTACCACTTCTAACCCAGTGGATTCTGCATTTGAAGAGCATACAGCTCATTTTATATGTATAAAAGACAATCTATTCTGACATAACCTTCCTATGGGTGTTACTTTTGGATGGACAAAAGCAGAGTTCCTCATATACTGTTCTTATACAGTTAAAAACGAAAACTCTTGTGCAGCATTACATAAAATATGAACAGTGACAAACATCAGTGTTACAAGGCTACAAGCAATCATGTAACAGATTATGCAAACTGATGCAATAGTAGGATTTGTTAAAAATTATTCCTCATCAATAACAAGAATATAACAAAAAAAATTCTCTGCATCTTCCACTCTACCAGCTTGAACATGATGTATTAGATACCAAATATAACAATAACAAGTTCTTTGTTCACAGGATGTGCGGCAGTCAACCTCAAGAGTATAGTACATGTTTGTTTGGGAGTATACACTAACAAATATACATTGAAAGGTAGATGGGCACATTGCTCACAGATCCAATGAATCTAGAAAATCACACAGCAAAATAGCCAAAAAACTATAATACATTTTAAATTGTGGTGGCATGGCAATTGCTACAAACTCACTTTAATATCCCCTCCATAACAAAGGAAAGCAGAAAAGGATGCACACAGTGATACATAAAACTAGGTTCACCTTCTCAAAAATAAATTATTAAACACAAAAGAATATGATACAAATGCTTGTGGCAGTTTAAAATACTTTAGAAGCAGTGACATTATAATATTGAGCAGAATAAATTGTGTATCCACAACAAAGATGGACTACTTAAAAATGGACAATACCGGTAAACGGATAATATATACACTAAAGACCCTTCTAATAATTCCTTCTGAAAATTATGTTTTTTTCTTTTCTATGGTTCTGTAGTATTTTGTCTCATTTGGATTCCAAACTAAAATTTGACTCTCTTCTTTGCCCTGTGGAAATATCAGTATATCACAAACACATCGACACAGGGAATTTTAAAATAATATATAACTGACAACGTGTCCATATTGTTTTAAATAAAAATATCACATATGAAAAGAACAAACTTACCCAAAAAGTACCCACAAGTATTCTCTAAGCACCAGATCTTTATAATAACTATATAAAAAAGATGGGATACTTCGAAGAGATAACCAACATGTATCCAAAGAGAATCCTACAAGTATTTTATCCAACACATGCCAACATGGTTACAGCAAGCAATTTAAAGTACCTAGATTTCATAATCTTCTACTAGTAGTACAGAAAAAAAGATACATACCATGAAATCAAATTCAAATTTTAAAATATAAAAATTAAGCTAAAATAACTCAGACAAAACCTCCATTCACCTAGACTTATAATGCAATTGATCTGCATAACTTAGGCTTGCCAATTCTTTTAGGATAATTAACCAATTATGAAATCAAGTCAAAGCAATATTAAACAGTTCCAAAAATGTAGAAAAAGTACCTTCATCCAAGTTGAACAGACTCCTTTGTGAATCCTTCCCGTTGGTGTTTTCTCGTATACTAATGCACATGTCACATGTATTCTAGTTGGTGCCATCCTATAAGAGATCCAAATTATTGGTCAACTAAAACATCAAGTAGGAAATGTATCAAGTATAGAACTAGGTATTACCTAGGAGAAGATGATATTGAATAATATCTAGGCTGCAGGCGGGGGGAAATTGCAGCAAAGAAAACTCCTAGGGGAGGCTTGGCTGAAGGGAACTCAGCCATAACTTCAAGAAGGCTCCTCTGACTAGCCACAATCCATTGAGAATATTCATCCTGCAACACAACAACTAAGCATGAACCTTGATGAAGGGTAAGTAAGATGATTAATCTTTCGAACTTCAGACATTTTAAATTGAGACTCTAAACTTAAAATTCTCCTAAAATTCAATTACATTCTGCCATTAGCTTCCATCCATAATTCTTGATGGAATGTGGAAATGAATCACAGTAAGACTTGACTTGCCCATTATCACACAAACAACGAAAAGCTGACTAACATCCTCATATTGATTGCCAAGTTAAGGCAAGTCAATACTGCCATGCCTTTAATTTTAGATTTCGAGTGATACATCAAACAACTTCGCACTTCAAAACTTATCATATTGGTAAGTCAAGCTGCATTGTGAGGTCAGTTAAGCTTTCCATCAAGACTAGATTGGTAGGATCTGATTGAAACATCAATTGATGTTTAGTAAGTCAATTGGGAAAAATTATAGCTTAAGGATTCAATTGAAATTTGCGACAAAGCAAAACGGGGGTTATAATTTAACCTAAGCAAGATGACAATTTTTATGAAATCCCAGAAAGAACATGAACCTTTCCAGCAGGAGAAGCCAAAAATCTAAGTCGCTCTGCTTCACTGGAATCCAATGCATACTTAGCTAATGCAAGTAAAGCACTCTGTGAACAGTTAACATAAAAATCAACTTGAAGTTAGTATCAAATAACAACTAAAGAAATGTGCAAGATGACTTTGAGCCCAATGAAAATTTCACCTTTTTGGGTGAATTTAAAAAATCAGCATATCGAGTAAGTGCAGTTCTTAAGGTGCATGGAGATGGGAAAGGAGGTGTCAAAGAGCCACCACTAAGTGGTGTACCATCCTCTTTGTCAGCATGAATGGAAAAATATGTGTCTGATGAATAACCCAATAGTCTTTCTGCCTCCTCTACAGTCTCAATGCAATTCTC